TCCAAGGTATTTTATGTTGGGCACTCTATTAATTTGCATTTTTTGATCATTAATGTTGAAGGAGAAATTTGTGTAATTTGGCAGATGTCTAGCATAAGATCCAAATGGTAAAAAATGTGTTTTAGAGTAGTTAATGCTTAATTTTCTACTGTTAAACCACCGAATAATTTTGATAAAATCATTTTCAATTACATTTTTCAGATCAGACCAGTCAGTGCCTTCATATAATATTGCAGTATCATCTGCAAAACTAGTTATTTTGCCAACACAATTAATTTGGAAAATATCATTTAAATATATATTGAATAACAGCGGACCTAAGACAGTTCCTTGTGGGACACCACACTTAATATACATTTCTTTACTAAATGATCCTGATATCTGCACAGATTGTGGGCGAGTTGACAAATAACTTTCGATCAGTGAGTACGCGTTTCCTCTGAAACCAATTCTCTCCAATGCTTCTAATAATAATTTGTGATTAACTGTATCGAAAGCTTTCTTTAAATCAACAAAAATGCAGATTGAAGGGATTCTGTTATCAATATTTTGATGTATTTGATTTACAATTTTAGTTATTGCGTCCGATGTAGCCTTCCCTTCTGTAAATCCATATTGATTTTCACTTAAAATTTTGAATTTTGTGAGGTATCGAATCATTCTAGTAGATAAAACTTTTTCAAAAACCTTTGCTACACTGGATATTATTGATATTGGTCTATAGTTGTTAACATCTGTTTTTGTTCCTGATTTATGTATCGGTATTATATTACCTTTTTTTAAAATTGAGGGATATATGCCAGATTCAAAGCATTTGTTGATTAGGTAAGTGAGTGGTTCTGTTATGTCCTCGGCTATAATTTTCAAATGCCCGCTTTTAATACCATCGAACCCAGGACTTTTCCGATTTTTTAAGGACATAACAGTGGTGTATACTTCACATTGCTCGACTTTATCCAAAATAAATGAGTTCAAAGTTCTTTTTGGAGGCTGAGTAGTTTGTACATTTGCTTGTATATTACTTGCTAAATTTTCGCCTATGTCAGTAAAGAATTGTACAAATTCATCGCATATCTGTTGAGTATTTTTTAATACTGTTCCCGATGTTGTATTTAACTCAGTGACACACTCTTTAAATTTTGTTTTCCCAGTAATCTCATCAATAGTTGTCCAAAGCCGCTTAGGATCATTTAAGTTATTATTCAATTTATTTAGGTAATGTTTTCGTTTGGTTTGCCTTGCAAGCTCTATAAATTTATTTTTATATTGGTTGTAGCAGTCGGTATTCTCTGTAGTTGGCGTTAGTTTCATTACATTATATAGTCTTTCTTTTTCTATTGCCGATGTTATTAATCCTTTGGTAATCCAGGCATTTCTGCTTTTCTCTTTGTGAGTAATTATTACTTTATTGGTACTAATATCTATTAGTTTTTTTATTTGCTCTATGAACAGTCCAGTTGCTTTGCCTAAATTATTTATAGAGTATAATTGTTCCCAGGATTCTTGTTTGACATTTGATATTAGTTTTGAATTGTCGACAAAAAATTTGTAATTTTCCTGGTTGTTATTAACGGTAGGGATGTTAGAATGTTTTTCATTTGAAGATATCAGTAAAATAGTGGAGAAGTGGTCAGTAATATCGCTTTCTAGGATTATTGGTATTCAAGTAATTTTGTTGGATAGGTCTTTCACAAAGCAGTGATCTATACATGTGCCACTGATGGACCTTGTAGGTAGGTTTATATAGGACAGAAATCCGTTACTTGATAGGATATTCAAGTATTCATTTGTGATGGGATCATCGTCCAAAATATTTATATTGACATCTCCCAAGAAAATATGTTGCTTTAAATGAACTTTATTTTGATTTTGAAAAAAAAATTCGATATTCTTTAAAAACTCGTGGGGTTCTGAACATGGCGGACGATAAATTGCAGATACCTCAATTTTGTTATGGTTAATTTGGATCATTATGTTTAAAGTTTTGATTCCATCGGTGAAAGTGAATGTATCATGATTATATTGCAGTTTATTTCTTACAAAAACTATCACCCCATCGTTTTGGTTATAAGTGCCAAAGTTATACAGCGTGTCATATCCCTGCTGATTGAAGCAAGAAATATCAGCCACTTGCCACGTTTCAGTTAGAACTATTAGATCAAAATTGTACCATATTTGGTCGAGTAGTATTTTTAAGTAATCAATGTTGTGTTTTATACTCCTTATGTTCATATTAAAAATTCGAAATTTTGCATCAGAATTTTGTGTACATAAATTAAGTTCATCGACGTTTTGTGCTATATTTGTTGCAATACTTGGAATTTGGAAATCATTAATGTATTTATTTACTGACATTTTTAGGTCCTCTTTAGAGATAGGAGTAGTAAAAGATGAACTTGAATTTTAATAAAGTATCCTTAAGTTTTGTTGTTGATATATTTAACTTTAGTGTTAGAATAGCATATTGCTAAGTTTCGCTACTACAGTTACACTTTATATATGTATACAGGGTGGCGCATCGAAAACGAAACAGTCGCATTTACTGATTATTTCCGAAAAATATTTCGATAATTTTAACTCTTTCTGCTGTGGAACATGCCATGGTTAATTTATGTAATAAAGCGTTACAAGTTATTTTAGCAACAAAGTTTGGTCAAATCAATCGCAAACTATGTACTAAATTCCTGTTTAAAATAAGTACGAGATATTTCCTCATCATGATAAGTAAATTCTTTTAGTCAAATTTCTTCTGAAAGTAGCACAAACTAATCTGATGTACCTATTAAAGTCTACTTTAAGCTTTAAATCAATAAATCTTCAAAACTACTGAACTGAAGCTCATGTATTTTACATCATTATAAAGGGAATCGAAAGACCTTTAAAATAAGGTATCACACGACCCCCCTTTCCATTTAAGATTTTAGGGTTGGTGTCACCCCCGCCCAGAGGGCTGCACGTGTTAACGTGATTTTTTGCCAAACTTGTGTCCCCCTCGAAAACAAAAATCGACGGGTCTGAGCGTTTTCGATGCGCCACCCTGTATATAACTAGTATATATTATTTAATAAAGACGTTTATTATCATTATTTCAAGGTCTCTCCAAGGATAAATACACATCAAGTCTAGCACTCGAGTCCACACGCGTGTCATATAGTTTTTCACGGTCGTTGAGTCCAAATCAGATGTCACTTTGTCTCCAGGAAGACATTTGAAATGTATGTGTGTATACATGCCGCTGAGAGACTTGCAAAAAATCGGCCAAATCGTTTTTATTTTTTCTGACTTTATTTTAAGAAATAACGAAAAACTGATCGAACTTTTTTGGACACTATATGATGATGTTTTTGAATTTTGTGCACAACGTTTGGTTTATGACAAACCAGCTTCAACTCTATTTTTTATATTGTCCGAAAAAAGTGCATCTGATAGCATCTTTTTCTACGAATTCAACAATGTACAACATGTTACATTTGTTTTCTTAGTTATAAAAGAAAATTTGTGTCTAATTTATATTTTTTTTTTGTTCAAATAGGCGTTGCAAGCAAGTGCTTGTTGTAAGATTAAAAAATAAAGTTGATGATGGCCTCTCAAAACGATCCGTCGCACAGTGTGGCGCCCAATGGACAAAATTACTCAAAAACATAATTTTTGACATTAGAATTCTGTTGCTTTTATTATACCATTGGATAGATAAATAGTCACTGCAACACGTAAGTATAGTACTTTAATCAAGTTGGCTGCGATTTACCTATTTTAGTAACTTTAAAGTTAGACATGTCGAGACCTGTCAAGAAGGCGAAAAATCTCTCTGTTTTATTGGTCGGGAAAGATATAAATTTTGTGTCGAAATATTTAAATATTTTAACTTTTCCAATATGGCTGGTAATGAGGCTGGTAAGTACATTATATTGATGTATAGATTTATTTAGAATATAATTATAATTAGATAATTTTTTAAGTTAAAGTGACTATTACCGATTTTTTTAATTTTTTTTAAACTTTTGACTTTGTTTAGAGTTTTACAAAAATCACCTCCCATCACCCTAAAAAATTTTTTATTTATTGGTTATCTGTCCATAGTAAGTTTTGATAAAAAGTTTAAATCACGTCATGCCACGTCTAAGGGAGATATACTTTTTTTTATGACATGGTGCTATTGTCAGAAATAGAGATTTGATTGATGTGTGGATAGAAGCACCGAGAGGAAATAGAAAACAGGTGGTTTATGAAAAGATATTATCTCTTATTGATATAACAGATGAACCTTCCAAACATCTTAAAAGTAATATTATGAAATGCAGCCAGTTGTTTGGGTTGAAAATGGCAAATAAATGGCAGAAAGTAGGACAATCTCGGAATCGACTTTACAAAATCAGGTATATTGGTTAGACAAGATTATATATAGAATAAATAATGATTCTGAAGAAAACACATCTTCGGATGAGGAACAAGAACCTGCTTGTCGCTCAGTTGGACGGCCACGGGTGCCATTTGAAGAGGCATCGAAGAAAACAAAACGAAGACGTGTAGCCGAACTAACCACAGACAGATCTGCAAATGAACTTCAATTTACTGTAAATGTCGTTTCTGGAGGCAATCACAGTGAGGTCTCGCCACAAATTTTTAGTTTTAGTACATCTGAAGCTTTAGCCCTTATGGTAGATTTGGATATATCCGTAAGAAAGTATTTGCTACTTAGGTCTGTTATTAATGGTAAGGCCCAGAACTGCCTTCCTAGTTATAAAGAATTACAGAAAACAAAAAATGCTATCCTCCCTTCACAATTTATATATAAATATAATTTTTTCACTTGTTATTTAGAGTAAAATAAATACATTCACCAACTTTTATTAAAATAAAACCATTTAAACTGGGTGTTCGGATTTATATGTCACTTAGTATATATTGAGACTGAACCTTTTTTACCCGATCTAACTGGTGATTTTGTACATTTTGGCATCGGAAAGTACGATTATATTCAAATATCATCAACCACTTACCCTTCATTGCTGCTTTTCACAAGCACTCCAGCAAGAATAGATAACGTAGTGAAGACACAAATAGTAAAGAATGTCTTCAATATCGTGTGCACTCACCATTTGCACAAAATGCTGTCATAGTTAAAACAGATACTATCACAATCACTGGTCATCTCCGAACTGACTATACAACTGGAGAAATAAACAACAAACGATACGTTTTTACAATAATTTATATGAGACGATGAACGTACGTTATCGCTTCTTCAAGTGTGGTCTAAAAAGAAATAATCAAAGATAACTGCGCCCGGACATTATCTTTCGATTTGTTTGGAAGCCATTTTACTAGCAAAAATATCGCCAAGTGCGCTTGGATATGATAGCGCGTTGGGTTCCAAGGTCGTTTGTGAAGAATACGGAAATTGAGAGATAGTTCTATTTCTGTGATATAAAAAGTGTCAACGGTATTGGGAATAATACGAGGGATGTTGATATATGCTTAGCCTACTACAGAAAAACTGAAAGTTTTTTATTGAAACTATTTTATTAGTCAACATCGATCCTGTAGGGCTTCTGAAGCTTTCGGAAAAAAATGTTTCCTCTTGGTCCGCAAATCAGCTTTCCACAACTTCTATCACCTTGTCGTTCGAAGAGGGCTTGTGACCTTTTAAACTTTTTTCCGCTTCGGAAACAGGTAATTATCAGTTGAATAAGGAGGGTGTTTCATCGTATAAATCGCAAAGTTTTGTCATCGAAGCGTGCGATTTGTGCATTGGCAAGAACACAACGTCGTTTCTCCGCAAATTTTGCACGCAATTTTGATGATCATGCTGCATAAAATTCTCCAGTTATGGTTTTCCTCTTGTCTAGGTAATGAGTGAAGTTATACTAAGTGACATATAAATCCGAACACCCAGTTTAAATGGTTTTATTTTAATAAAAGTTGGTGAATGTATTTATCTTACTGTAAATAACAAGTGAAAAAATTTTCAGCCTTATCAGTTGGACATTCCGGATTTTATACTGCTTTTTTTTAATTCACTAACGCTCTAAAAATGAATATTTCAGCCGCAGTAAAGAATCAACGTTGGCGGATATTGGTTCTTGACATCCTTTACGATCGGTTACGATGCCTAGAGTACGGACACCTGTACGATTTCGTCAACTTAGTGAGTTTGATAGGGGCCGTATAGTGGGACTTCGGGAAGCTGGACTTTCTTTTCGGGCAATTGCAGTTAGAGTGCAAAGAAGTGTAGACACTGTGGTTAGGTGTTGTCAGGCATGGCTTCGAGAAGGCCGTACCCAAAGAGCACGGGGCACTGGACGCCGCCGTAGAACAACAGACCGTGAAGATCGCCGCCTAAGATTATTGGCCTTAAGGGACCGTTTCTCCACTACCAGGTCCATTGCAAATGAATGGTTTGTAGAACACGGAAGACCTATTGGCATGCGAAGTGTTTACCGACGAATGAGAAGTTTTGGCTTGTTTTCATACCGGCCACACTGGGTCCTCCCTTTAACTCGAGAACACCGACGTAATCGCCTTGAAGGGTGCAGACAACGGTCACTCTGGGATCAGGAATGGAACAGTATTGTCTTTAGTGACGAGTCTCGATTTTGTTTAGGCATGCACGATGGTCGTGCCAGGGTTAGAAGGCGACGTGGTGAAAGGAGGAATCCACAGTTTTTTGTTGAAAGACATGTTCATCACACTGTTGGAGTTATGGTTTGGGGTGCTATAGCTTATGGTTCCAGGTCACCTTTAATCTTCATCAGAGGTAACATGAACGCGCAGCGTTATATCCACGAAGTTCTAGAACCCCATCTTTTACCCTATCTTGACACCCTGGCAGATCCAACTTTCCAACAAGATAATGCCCGACCACATGTTGCAAGAGTCACAATAGACTTCTTTCAACATAATGATGTCACATTGTTACCATGGCCACCAAGATCTCCCGACTTATCCCCAATTGAGCACGTGTGGGATATGATGGGTAGAAGATTGCTCAATTTGCAACGTCCTCCTCAGACTCTAGAAGCACTTCGAGAGGAGTTGGTGGTTGTCTGGAATGAGATACCACAGGAGGACATTGACCACCTGATCAGAAGCATGCCTAGGCACGTTGGAGAATGCGTAGCACATCAGAGTGCATCCACACATTATTAAAGGTCAAAGGGCTTTAAAGCAGTGCAATCATTTTGAAATTTTTATCATTTACTTATTATGCTTCATTCAGTACTTATACAAAATTTTATTAAAATAAAACCGTTTAAACTGGGTGTTCGGATTTATATGTCACTTAGTATAATATCGCTATTTAACACTGAACAGTTTTTCATTGTTAAAGAAGGAATAAAATACACGGAAAACAACTATTACATTATTCCCAAAAAAAAAATCTCCGAGCACATTTTATCCTCCAAAAATTCCTCAACGGACGTAAAAATCCCCAAAATTTGTGAAAAAATCCCAATTGAATTCAACATACCCCAGAAGATTTGCGCGCTCTATGGAAGGTCTTTAGGTGGCTATCGATACTTCTCGAACGCTCCCGATGTTGACCGATGCTCTTCGATGAGGCCGCAAACGCTCACGCATGGCAGCGTACCTCTCGTTGTCTAAACCGCGATGTTTCTGGACACTCATCGAATCTGCTGGTCGATGTATGAGGGTGCCTTGCTGGTACCCAGAGCTCCAGTTATACGAGGACGTTAAGGATAATGAGACAATATCAACAATGAAAATGGATTTATTAAAAATAGTACAACAAACAATGTAGGACATTCATGCTTTATGGCAGGAAATCATCAAATCTATTAGCACCAGTTCGTATTTTAACATGAAGAATTGAGAGTATAACCAATATAATGTATAAAAAAATCAAGTAACCGAGATTTTGCAGTCAGATTGTATTATTCATATACATTAGACAGTGCCACTGAAAAGAGTTCTTAATATCCTTCCTTTTGAATGATTTTTATTTCTGCCAACAAATAGTCTCAATTATAACTGCATAGGGGACGATCTTTTGTTTTTTATTTGATATGTTAGAAAATGTACAATGTAAGAAGCTTAGCAAGTTCTGCAGAAATACGATCTGGCTCCGGCTGCTCGATAATGTCCAACTTCGGTACCCTGGTTGAGATGGCATTCTATCAAAGCATCTCCCTGGTAACCCGTAGGGCAAGTACAGACCGCCAGATGGCGTCTAGGAGTGCAGTTTGCGTTCACGCCACATTGGCTATGGCATGGGTTTTGACATCTGGAAGAAAATGTAATGTTAAAAAATGGCAAACAATCATTTACGGGATTGCGTTAACTTTTAGGATTCTGATATAATGAACCGTTCTCGGGTTTTTGGAATATTTTGGTATAGTTTCATAATAAGTTGAAATTCGCTAATTCTCATACAAGCTTCGCGTCGTTCGTACAACTGCCGTCGCGTTCGGAAAAATACCACTTTCCGCACTTGTAAGGTAAATAACTATTTTTAACTTATATTCCTGTCATAATGTCTGACTTTTCAATTATCTGCCTCAATCACAGAACACATGATGCTCAATTTCCAATAATGCACATGCAGTGTTACCAAACCGAAAAGCGGAGAATCACTATTTTATTTCTGCAGAGTGTCCGGTGGGAAAGTTCACATTTCAACGCGTATACGAGAGGAAGTGGGGAGAGGACTTGATCGACGTGTCCGGCGTGCGGGTTAAATAGTCACAATGAAACGTTGGACCGGAGCGCAACGTGCTTTTGCTATCGAGGCTTACTTTAAGGGTGGCAGTTCATACGCAGCTGCCCTTCGATCATTTTGTACACGGTACTACATTCGCCGACCAAGAGATGCCTCAAGTAAGAACCTATTAAAAAGTGGATTAAGAGGTTCGTGAAACAGGCATGATGGAGAAAAATATGGGTTTTCATCCTTATGAAATCCAATCAGTCCATGCTTTAAAGAAAAGTGATTACGTATTACGGAAATCTTGTAGTAGTAGTAGAAAGATTTATTTAGCACATTTGGCTACATAAACAGAATAATTGTAAACAACTTAGAACTAGTAAATTCAAGCCATATGGTGTATGATGTAAATGCTGGGCAACCTATAATTGTAGATTTAACAGGTGATTTCTCAATGTTACTTTAAATTTTGTCATAGTTTTCTGGTTTTTTATCTCTGAGTATAATTTATTATATTCAATCAACCCTTGATGGAATACAGATTTGTAGCATATGTTATACTTTTTGGTCATTAAATGGAAGTCATCTTTATTTCTGGTATTATTTAAATGATGGTCGACATTTGATGATGTTATATTAGTTAGACTTGATGGAAATGTATTATTTTTTACTTTATAAATGAATAACATTACAAGATATTTGATAAAATTTTTTACATTGGGCCATTTTAATTTGCTAAGCATTTGCCTAATTGGAGTATATTTATCTTTATTTAGTATTATTCTCATGCACTTATTTTGTAAAATTTGCAGTCTTTCAAAAATGGAATTATTTGCTAAATATAGAATAGTCGAACAGTACAAGAAATTTGGAAGAATGATGGTATTATAGATAATTTTTCTGCTATATGAACTCAAGCATCCAGAAACTCTCGATAAATATCCCACTTTACTACTAATCTTATTTATAACTTTTTTATAATGAATATCAAAAATTAATCGAGAGTCGACAAAAACCCCCAGGTATTTAAAATTTTCTACGAATTCAATATCTTCACCATCAATATTCAGTTGAACATTTGTACATTGTTTTTTTTTTTCGATTAACAAGGCTTTCGTTTTACTTGCATTTAATTTTAGTCTGTTAGATGCTAACCATTTTGAGACAAGCTTCAAGTCTTCATTTATATAAGAGATACCATACTGAATATTTTTAGTACTTATATAAATCATAGTGTAATCGGCGAAAATTAGAATTTTGCAATTTTTGACTATGGCAGGTAAATCATTTATGTATAAAATAAAAAGAAGTGGTCCCAGGATACTGCCCTGTGGAACACCCAACGTATTTTCAATTTTTGACAAAATATCTCTATCAATCGTTTCAAATGCCCTCTTCAAATCCAAAAATACTGCTATGACAACTTCTTCTGAGTCTATGGCTCTTCTCCAATTCTCAGTTACCAACTGGAAAGCTGTTTCTGTGGAATATTTTTTTCGAAAGCCTGCTTGTGTCCCCACTAAAATTTTGTTTTCTTCTATAAACTGCATCAATTGGTCATGCACTATGGACTCTAATAATTTTTCAATGTCTGGTAACACATTTACTGGTCTCATATCGCTGCATCTTTTAGAATTTTTTATTTTGGGAACTGGTGTTATTGTAGAGCATTTCAAATTTTCAGGAAAAGAACTGCTTCTCAGTGAACAATTGATCCAATTTAATACAGGATATCCCAAAATTTCGAAACAGTTTTTCAGCACGTTTTTAGTAGTGATTTCGGCACAGTTGTTATTTGATTTTAAACTGTTTACTTTTTTTCTTAGATAATTCAATGATACGCTGTGAAATTTTGAAAGTGTATGCAACATTTCCCCCTGGAAACTGATTTTCATATAGTCAGGTGCAGCATTGGCAGTACCCACAATATCAACAATACTTTCCACAAAATATTCATTTAGTTTGTTTGCAATCACCAAAGAATTTGTTTCGGTACCGTTTTCGAATTGAACTTGATGAACGGTTGTTGATTTTTTACCTACACAGCGCAGACCCGAGAACATTGTTTTCAGTGATAAGGCCCATTTTCACTTAGACGCTTATGTGGACAAGCAAAATTGCAACGAACCCAAAATAGAAACGTCAACAACAGCTACATAGTCCAAAGGTGTCTGTTTGGTGCGCCATATCCTCTAGCGGTGTTATTGCTCCGTATTTCTTTGCAGATGAAAACGGTCATGCATTTACAGTCAATTCCGAGCGATACAAGGACATGACTGGCACTTTTTTTGCTCGTATTGTAAGAGCAGAACGTCGATTTAACAGAAACACAAGGTTTCAACAGGATATTCCCACTGCCCATACGTCCAGAGAATCGATGGACACGGTGAAAGCACTTTTTCCTCAAAAAGTTATATCGAAGTTTGGAGACATTCACTGGCCTACTAGGTCACCAGACCTCACGCCATGCGATTATTCTATAACTTCAAAAGTAATTAAATGAAATGTATCATTTAAAAAAGAACTAAATAAATGGATTTAACAACAACCAAGGTGCTCCATCCACAAAATTGTAGATATGAAAATCATTATCAAAATCAATAGTATTTTACCTACACTAACATCCATATATACCAAATTATACAGTATTTACGCTTTTTTTTCATAAACTGACTGTACTTTCAGTTTTTATTTTTAACAAACCCAAACACAAGTGCAAACTTTTTTGGGTGCGTTATGTTTATTATGCACAATATTTAATATTTACCTCTGTTTTGTGACAATAAACATTATTATTATTATTATTATTATTATTATTATTATTATTATTATTATTATTATTATTATTATTCTTATTATTATTATTATTATTATTATTTTTCAAGAGACTGGAATGCCATAAATATTAGCGATAAAACTAGATTCGCCCCTGGATCCGCGCTTGCTTCAATAGGGGACCTGACGATAAATGTGCCAATACTTTCTCTAAGAGTGGCAATATCTTGAAAACTACAAAACTTTTACTAAGGTCATGTCGATTTTATCTGATCGATCTGAAGCTAATCTACCTCCCGTGTCACTCTGGCGTGTTATTTTTGGGACACCCTGTATAATGGAATGCCTGTCCGCACTGTCAACCTTCGAAGCCGGTGACATTCTATGACGTATCTCGGCACAGTATTTCGAAAACCTACTGCACAAAATTCAATGGACACAAAGTGCCGAGTGCTAGAACATTTCCAAAAGCATTACAAGAAAATTTTCGTAATTTTTTCCACCGCCATAGCAGTGTATTTCGTACATAAGTTCGTGATGAAAAAAATGTTCGGCAAGAGGACAGCTGGGAAAAGGGAGCCTTTGAAAGACTTTCCTAGTATAGACGATATACAGAAGTTTATAGAAGAACTGCCTTTTGATGCAGTCAAAATGGATAAGACTGTAACGTTAAAGGATCTCCTTGGTAAGCATGTTAAAAATGAAAAAAGGCGCAATAGGCTCGTTGACACTTTTTTAAATGGGTGTTAAATGGTTAATATTTGTCTTATTCGACTAAAAAGGTAGTTCCAAATCTTTTCAGACCTAAAAGGCCGTACAACTTGGGGGTTAACTTGATGCGCAGTGCTCATTAGTTTAAAAGTAGGAATCTCTAAAAATTTAATAAATTCATTATACATTATGGAAAACTAAATACGAAGAGCATAAGAAAAAGTCAGTGGCGTGGCGAATTATTTTCGGCAGGGGTCAAATTGTCTCAGTTTCTATGCTACCGTTGGTAGTTCATTTTCAACCGCGAAACATTTCAGATGCAGATGCTGACAACATCCTGCAAGCGATCTTTAAGAAACGCTCCAATGTATTTTCTGTCTATAAATACTGATATACAGGGTGTTTCAGTTTATTGTTGCATAACTTTAAGATTCGATAGAACGTTTAAAATTAATGCATAAAGTCTATATAAACATGGGTCGAAAAATGCGTGGATTCCGAAATACAGGGTGTATAAATTTACTTTCTAAAATAGTTTTTTCTAAATATTTCAAACAATATTTGATTTATAACAGGGAATATTGGTATACAAGGGTTTTTTGGTACGACAAAACGAACCATGGGCATAGTTTTACTGTAGCCGCTAGAGGGCGCTCTCTACTGTACCTGTAGTGTATTAAAATGACCGAACATTTTTTCTTTTTGAATAAAAAAACTGATTCTTCACACATTTCAACATAAAAAGCTCTCTTGTGAATTTTCGTTATACTTAGCCGTTTTTGAGATATTTCGATTTTTAAGGTTCGATGCATTTTTAATTATTTATGATAAAATAACATTAAAAAGTCAGTATCTCGATAATTTTTAGAAGTAGGCTGTGCCTGCAAATATTTTTGAAATTGAAAGCAGAATAAGGTTGCAATTGTAAATGCACGAAATTTAGTTTCTTTTACCTGTATTTTTTTTGTAAGTTTTATAAAAATGCCATTTTTATTCTCCAATCAAGAGTTAGCGGATATTCATTTTGTGTATGGCTTTGTAAATGGAAACGCAGCAGAAGCAGCCAGAGAATACGCACGAAGATTTCCAAACAGACGACATCCAAATCGCTCAGTATTTGTAGGAGTGCATCGCCAAATAATTGAAAATGGTTTTGGAAATCTCCAAAGGGATCAAAACATAAATGTTCGTCAGCGCAGATTTACCCGTATGATTCTGCGTGAGTTTGATAGAGATCCGACCACAAGTGTTAGGAGAGTTTCTGGTGCCTTGGGAATTTTAGCAAGCCATGTTCACCGTGTTCTTAGAAATGACCATAGACGTCCTTACCATTTGCAACCTGTGCAAGGACTACAGCCAGGGGACGGAGAACGAAGAATCACATTTTGTCAGTGGATTCTTGATAGAACTGATAATAATAGGGAGTTTTTAAGTAACGTTTTGTGGACCGATGAGTCATGCTTCACTAGACGTGGAGTGGTAAATTTTCATAATCAACATATTTGGTCGCATGAAAATCCGCATTCAGTTCGGGAAAGAAATTTTCAGCATGAATTTAGAGTGAACGTGTGAATTGGTATCTACCGTAATCGACTATTTGGACCCTACCTTTTGCCTGCAAGGTTAAATGCTGCGACCTTCTTGGAATTTTTAAAGGCTGAACATGCAAATATGTGGGATGATGTTACGTTAGATTTAAGAAGATTGGCCTGGTTCCAGCTTGATGGTTGTCCAGCTCATTATTCGAGAATAGTTAGAAACTGGCTGGACGAAAATTATCCAGAAAGATGGATCGGCCATGGAGGACCAGTCGCCTGGCCTCCACGATCCCCTGACCTAAATCCATTAGATTTCTTTGTGTGGGGATTTCTAAAAGAAAAAGTGTACCAGACTCCCGTAACCACAAGTGATATGCTAATAGATAGAATCAGGAATGCATGTGATGAAATAAGGCCTTATTTGAATAATGCTATACCACGTTCGATCATTCGTAGATGTGAATTGTGTATTGAACAATTGGGTTTACATTTCGAGCTACTACTTTAGATTTTGTATCTTTGTCCTAACTATCCAATAGCATTTTAGTTGTAAATAATTAATTTAATTTGTTAAAAATAATATTGGAAAATTAAACAAATTAATATTCTGTTTTTTGTGTTTATTTGGAGTTAGGAATTATCGCTGTGTTTAAAAACACAATCTAAACGATCATCTTAATTACTTGTAATGCCCAAATCGAAAATGTAAAAAAAATATTGTTTTCCCATAAATAATTAAAAATGCATCGAACCTTAAAAATCGAAATATCTCAAAAACGGCTAAGTATAACGAAAATACACGAGAGCGCTTTTTTTTATTCAAAAAGCAAAAAATTGCACTAAGAAAAAATTTTCGGTCATTTTAATACACTACAGGTACAGTAGAGAGCGCCCTCTAGCGACTACAGTAAAACTATGCCCATGGTTCGTTTTGTCGTACCAAAAAACCCTTGTATACCAGTTTTCACTGTTATACATCAAATATTGTTCGAAATATTTAAAAAAAAACTATTTGAAAAAGTAAATTTAAACACCCTGTATTTCGGAAGCCACGCATTTCTCGACCCATATTTATATAGACTTTATGCATTAATTTTAAATGTTCTATCGAATCTGAAAGTTATGCAACAATAAACTGAAACACCCCGTATAATAATAACATAATTTCAGGGGAGTTATCAGAATTTAGTGAAGATGAAGAATGGAAAGAGCTGATTGCCAGCGTACACAGTTTGTATCAAGAATCACCAAGGATAAATAAAGGAGATAATATGGTACAACGGATATAGGTACTCTGTTATTTTTTCTAGAATACAATAGCTAAAAGGTTTTTGGCATGTTTCTTTGAAAAATAACTACTGCTAAATCATATAATAAGGGTAAGAAAAATAGTAGCGTGCATCTTACAACCTTTGTGAGATTGACACATTTAGTTTGACATCGCTTACTTTGGCCAAGTAAAAGTAATATCCTCCATGTTCGTGTGACACTGTCGCTACTAGCGGCAATTGCAGATAGCGAAATGCAATTTCTTGGAACATGAACATTATACAGCATATTAGGCGGAGACTGGATTCTTACATTTTAGCTATTGACTAAGAGAATACTTCCCAGAAAGCCAAATCTCAATTAGGGGTGCATTAGAGTGACCGTCCGCTCTCCCGATTTGGCACCTTGTGATTTTTTTCCAAGGACGTTTTTCAAATTCCGCGTGAACCGTCCAAGGGCCCAACGAGATTTGCAGGCCAACATCCAGGAAGAACGTAACGCCTCATATGCTAGCAGGAGTCATGACAAATGCCAGAAATCTGTTTACTCAGTGTATGGAGAATATAAAAAACAACATCCTACAGTGAAAAAAGCAAGTTATGCACCTTAAAAAGGAAGCTGTTCAAACATCTCCGAAGAAAAACAGTTACTCATCAAGATCAAATACTCACTTGTAATCAATGCAAGCTTGATGATCAGCACACTGTGCATCCTCGGTACACTCTCCTTTGAAGCAGGCCTTCAGTGGGTCACCAGTATATCCGAATGGACAAGTACAGACTGGTCGCTCTTTTCCTGTCCTATCATGCCCTGGCTCACAGTGGGCATCCCTGCCGCAAGGGTTCGGCTCGCAAAGGTCTCCTGAAAGTTAAAAAGAGGCTTGGGTACAAACAAATAATATTCTAGATCTAGACACTTTTCTTCATGTAAAAGGTTCACTTGACGCTCGGAAAGCTAAGAAAGGCACTGCTAGTATACACCTTTCAACAACAACTTACGACCCTGGTAAATTTCACGCGTATTCGTGAAGACAAGGGAACGCTTAGGCACAGGACTTCTTCTTTCGAATACTGTTCTACCAGTTAAAAGTGTTTATGTATTATGATTCTGCGGATAGTTCCCATATCAATCTCAAGGTCCGATCAGCTAAAGTTGAGGGTTTTCACTGAGTATCTTTCATTGTCTAGCTGTACTGCATGTCAAAGTGTATTTTCTAGCCAGGGTACCCTCATAATCGCGATAATAATTGACATAGGTCAAAAATAGTTAGATGAGATATGCTTATCAATAGTTGAAAGATAAAGATAGACTTCAAATAGGGGGGTTAATTACTGTTTGGTTTCCTCTGTCAGGGGACATACCGGAGCGTTTTGGATATTGAGACAACGGATTTTGGCCGACGTGATATCATAGATCTATGCGACTGCTTAGCTTCCTCTGATGACAATCGCTGGAATCTAAAAGTATCTCATGGCAGGATGTGGATAGGGATTGTTACTTTAAAGTTGTCATGTTGCTCGTTTATCTCCACCAGAATATTTTGAAGTATCCATATCGGGCATTAATTCCATGTGGTATGAAGCTACCATTCTCCCGAGTATGGAGATGGGCTTGACTTCGATGCGGTAGGAAACTACCGTTCCCCTGATCATGGACCTCGGGCGACTTCCATACGGTAGGAAGTTACCGTTCCCCGTGCAAGGTATTTCCACATCAGGAGTGACTTCCATGCGGTAGGAAGCTACCGTTCTCCTGATCATAGACAAGGGAGTAACTTCCTTATGGTAGGAAGCAACCGGTCCCCCGTGCAAGGTATTTCCATTTCAGGCGTGACTTCCATGCGATAAGAAGCTACCATTCCCCTGGTTATGGACACAGGCGTGACTTCGATGCGGTAGGAAACAACCGGTCCCTCGTGCAAGGTATTTCCACATCAGGTATGGCTTCCATGCGATATGCAGCTACCGTTTCCCTGTTCGTGGACTCGGAACTGACTTCCATGCAGTAGGAGGCTACCGTTCCCCCGTGCGAGATATTTCCATATCAGGCATGATTTTCATGGGATAGTAGGCTACCGTTCGCCTGGTTATGGACGCGGGAGTGACTTCCATGAGGTAAGAAGGAAGCTACACTTCCCCGTGCAAGATCTTTCCATATCAGGGGTAACTTCCATGCGGTAGGAAGCTACCGTTCCCCTGATCATGGACACGGGAATGACTTGCATGCGGTAGGAAACTACTATTCGCCCATGCAAGGTACTTCTATATCAGGCGTGACTTCCATGCAGTAGGAAGCTACCGTTCCCCCGTGCGAGATATTTCCATATCAGGCATGATTTTCATGGGATAGTAGCCACCGTTCTCCTGGTTATGGACACGGGAGTGACTTCCATGCGGTAGGAAGCTACCGTTCCCCTGATCATGGACATGGGATGACTCCCACGCGGTAGGAAAGAAGCTACCCTTCCCCGTGCAAGGTGTTTCCATATCAGGCGTGACTTCCATGCTGTAGGAAGCTACCGTTCCCCCGTGCGAGATATTTCCATATCAGGCGTGATTTTCATGCGGTAGTAGGCTACCGTTCTTCTGGTTATGAAAAGGAAGTCACTTCCATGCGGTAGGAAGCTGCCGTTCCCCCTGATCATGGACACGGAAATGACTTGCATGCGATAGGAAGGAAGCTACCTTTCCCCGTGCAAGGTATTTCTATATCAGGCGTGACTTTCATGCGGTAAGGAATCTACCTTTCCTCTAATGATGGACACGGGTGTGACTTCGACGCGGTAGGAAACTACTGTTCCCCCGTGCAAGGTGCTTCTAAATCAAGCGTGACCTCCATACAGTAGGATGCTACCGTTCCCCCATGCAATGTCTTTTAACATCTGAGAATATATATAATTGAGACATATCATGGCCATTATTGTATTGCTTGATGATCAGTTCAAGACAGCTAATTAACATAATGAATAGACAGTAGAGTTGAGTATGTCATGAGTCGGTAGAATATGGACGGTACCTCAAATGGTCTTTCCGCAAAATACGCTTGGCACCGACCACCGACCGTATTTCTCGACAAAAAAAAGGACAACTCCCTTTTCGTTACGTGATCAAGCGAATCTTTGAAAATATCCAGACATTGAATTCCTCTATAAGTTGTTTGCGTACTACCCTTGTCAGTATTCCGTACACCTGTAAGGTGGGGGTTTTCACATTCATCGTTCTACGAACATCTTACATGCGGTTCTTTTTATCTATAATTTATTACTCCGGCATTAGCTTCCAGGATCGATTATGCTTTTTAGCCCGCTTCCGTTGCAATTCGGTATTTTTGGATGCCAAAAAATGTAAGAGACATGTGCAACTTATATCGCTCATTTTTGTATCTAGACCGTACTTACTGGCTTCAAATGGTCTACACCTGACGAAAGGATCTCCAGTCATGTCCCTTGGGCACGAGCACACAGGCGTTAGTCCCCTTAACTCGCAGTTCGCTCCTACTCCACAAGCACCTTCGCAGGGACTCTTGCAGATGCCGTAGAAACAAGCTGGCTTGTGGCTTGGACAGTCCTTATCGCCGTAGCATTCTGGCTGGCAGGACGAGTACGGGTTGCCGAAATAGTTCTGGAAAAGATTGGAGTGTACAAAAAGTATGCAAAGCTCTCTAATGTCATTTGTCAAAATGGAAAGTACTAATATACAGGGTGTCACAAAAGATATAGTCATGAGGATAATAGGTCATTTCCAATCATGAAAGTCATATATTTATAAGGATCTCCTTGCAGCGGCAGAGAGAGCCAGGTCGACCTGGTCATTTAGCTCTGGTGGACAAGAAACGAGCCATAAAAGAAGAAAAGGCACATTTTAGGAACACAGAAGAGAAAAGCGGCGAGCTAAATATGTTGCTTCGTTAACTCGTTTGACATCATCTTAAACTCATCTTCAGATTCCGAGACAGATTTAAAAGAAACTTTGCCCATTCCAAGAGGAAAAGTTTTATAACTACAAAATTAGTGACAGCATTAGTATCTAATACCTATCGGTCTGTTAAGTATGAGATGCTATTGAAACAACCATTGAGGCACTTAGACATAACACTGACGAGTTTCCTATAAGCAAGTCCTCCATTGAAAGAATTCGTAAAGCGAAAGGAGCGCGGAAAAGCGATAAAGTTCGATTTCCAAAGAGAGGTAGCGGATATTGTTAACTGTCCTCTGGGATGGAAAATTTTTACCACCGTTAAATGCACGCAGGTCTAAAGAAGAACGTCTACCGATTGTTATACGTATGAAAGTAAAAAGCCTACTTTTCGCTGTGCCCAAATTGGATAACTCTTCAGGCAGCTTGGGATGCTATTATTGACTGGAATCTTGAAGATAAAGTTCAGATTCTTTGTTATGATATTGCTGCTTCAAATACGGTGTCTGAGTGCTTCTCGAACAGAAACTTAAAGAAATGCGGGTTTGACTCAGAGATCCACCAAGTGACTACAAACTCTGACATCCCAATGCTTAAAAAGTTTCACCAAAGCTAGTAAGGTGTGGACTTATACTGAAAAGCTATCATACGTGAATATTTCAGGGATTGACAAAAGGAAAAAATTAGACGATCCGCGTATCTCAATTCGAACAAAGATTTGTTCGTTTGTTTGAACTCATAGGCTAATGAGTTCGTCCGATTGTGTTCGGTTTTTGAGATTGAGCCACTTTCAAGAAAATCTCTAGCTATGAGACTGTACTATTTTTTGAAATTATTTCTTGTTATTTCTCAATCAGCCACACAGGATACGTTCCCAAATGATGTATCGCTGAAGAAAAGGTATCAGTGAAAAAATAGTCCAGTAAATGTAGGTATAGCAATCAGCTGAACCGTAATTTTATATATTGTCAGCATACCTGTATGAATGCTTGTAGAAAAAATTAGTAGACAGATTAACAGTATACAGGGTGTTTCAGTTTATTGTTGCATAACTTTAAGATTCGATATAACTTTTAAAATTAATGCATAAAGTCTATATAAACATGGGTCGAAAAATGCGTGGCTTACGAAATACAGGGTATTTAAATTTACTATCTAAAATAGTTTTTTTTAAATATCTCCAGCAATATTTGATGTATAACAGTGAAAATTGGTATATAAGGGTACGACAAAACGAACCATGGGCATAGTTTTACTGTAGCCGCTAGAGGGTGCTCTCTACTGTACCTGTAAAGTATTAAAATGATCGAAAAAATTTTCTTAGGGCAATTTTTCGCTTTTTGAATAAAAAAACTGATTCTTCGCACTTTTCAACATAAAAAAGCTCTCTTGTGAATTTTCGTTATAGTTAGCCGTTTTTGAGATATTTCGATTTTTAAGGTTCGACGCATTTTTAATTATTTATGATAAAATATAACGTTAAAAAGTCAGTATCTCGATAATTTTTAGAAGTAGGCTGTGCCTGCAAATATTTTTAAAATTGAAAGCAGAATAAGGTTAAACGTCAGTTAGTTGACAGTTAGTTTTGTTGTCTGTTGAAATCTGAAAGGTTTTTTTGCAATTGTGAATGCACGGAATTTAGTTTCTTTTACCTGTTTTTTTTGCCTAAGTTTTATAAAAATGCCTTTTTTATTCTCCAATCAAGAGTTAGCGGATATTCATTTTGTGTATGGCTTTGTAAATGGAAACGCAGCAGAAGCAGCCAGAGAATACGCACGAAGATTTCCAAACAAACGACATCCAACTCGCTCAGTATTTGTAAGAGTGCATCGCCAAATAATTGAAAATGGTTTTGGAAATCTCCAAAGGGATCAAAACATAAATGTTCGTCAGCACAGATTTACCCGAATGATTCTGCGTGAGTTTGATAGAGATCCGACCACAAGTGTTAGGGTAGTTTCTGGTGCCTTGGGAATTTCAGCAAGCCATGTTCCCCGTGTTCTTAGAAATGACCATAGACGTCCTTACCATTTGCAACCTGTGCAAGGACTACAGCGAGGGGACGGAGAACGAAGAATCACATTTTGTCAGTGGATTCTTGATAGAACTGATAATAATAGGGAGTTTTTAAGTCACGTTTTATGGACCGATGAGTCATGCTTCACTAGACGTGGAGTGGTAAATTTTCATAATCAACATATTTGGTCGCATGAAAATCCGCATGCAGTTCGGTAAAGAAATTTTCAGCATGAATTTAGTGTGAACGTGTGGATTGGTATCTACCGTAATCGACTATTTGGACCCTACCTTTTGCCTTCAAGGTTAAATGCTGCGACCTTCTTGGAATTTTTAAAGGCTGAACATGCAAATATGTGGGATGATGTTATGTTAGATTTAAGAAGATTGGCCTGGTTCCAGCTTGATGGTTGTCCAGCTCATTATTCGAGAATAGTTAGAAACTGGCTTGATGAAAATTATCCAGAAAGATGGATCGGCCGTGGAGGACCAGTGGCCTGGCCTCCACGATCCCCTGACCTAAATCCATTAGATTTCTTTGTGTGGGGATTTCTAAAAGAAAAAGTGTACCAGACTCCCGTAATCACAAGAGATATGCTAATAGACAGAATGAGGAATGCATGTGATGAAATAAGGCCTTATTTGAATAATGCGATACCACGTTCGATCAGGAATTATTGCTGTGTTTAAAAACACAATCTAAACGATCATCTTAATCACTTGTAATGCCCAAATCGAAAATGTAAAAAAAAATATTATTTACCCATAAATAATTAAAAATGCATCGAACCTTAAATATCGAAATATCTCAAAAACGGCTAACTATAGCGAAAACTCACAAGACAGCTTTTTTATGCAGAAAAGTGCGAAAAATCAGTTTTTTATTCAAAAAGCAAAATATTGCACTTGAAAAAATTTTCGGTCATTTTAATGCACTACAGGTACAGTAGAGAGCGCCCTCTAGAGGATACAGTAAAACTATGCCCGTGGTTCGTTTTGTCGTACCAAACAACCCTTGTATACCAATGTTCACTGTTATACATCAAATATTGCTCGAAATATTCAAAAAAACTATTTTAGAAAGTAAATTGAAACACCCTGTATTTCGGAAGCCACGCATTTTTCGACCCATGTTTATATAGACTATATGCATTAATTTTAAAAGTTCTATCGAATCTTAAAGTTATGCAACAATAAACTGAAACACCCTGTATAGTTAAGAAAAAACTTACGGATACGTACAAAATCCTTTTCAGGCAAACAAATACCCTAAACGTTTACTAAAAAGAAGCATTAAAAATAGAGATGCAGTATAAGCTCTGAAAAATGTGAGCAACATTTACCTAAAATAATAATACGTAACTAAACACATCTTAGATGTTAAAAATATTTCTACTTGACAACGAAATCCTGTTGAGTCTTGTGAATAAATGAAGTATGAGAGTGTACTAGTATACTACAAGGAAGTATTATTATCGCAAAAATTTTCGAATTTGAAAGACGCCAGACTTATGAACAAAAAGATATGGAGGCATTTTTCTTTAGTAAACTAAAGAGATAAAAGTTAGACGGGGTCAAGTCCGGTCTATGGGGAGGATGGAATATGCCGCATTCCTGAACAAATGGTCTAATTCTGGTGGCCTTATGCACAGTCGCATTCTCATGCAGCAGAAACACTGGAAAACTTGGGCCTTTTCTGGTTGATTTTTGCTCAGGTGTCAACCGACGTGGAACTCTCCTGGCTGACACCTTCATTTCATCATGTGTCATTGTTTTGGGTCTTCCACTTCTCAATTCTATGGATTCACGGCCGTATCGAAACTGTTTCTATTAAAATATTGTTCTATAATATGATGGGGCAACCATTCTCTCAAGAATTTTTTTAGGGTGATGACCCTCTTTAGTCAAAAATTTCATGACACTGCGATACTTTAAGGCCGTATCGGCAGTCATTCCTATAATTGTAGGACGCCTTTATTGCTTCCTTGATTTTCATAGTTTTCTACTGCTTTATGTCAGCATTCTATTTTGAGGTTATGTTACAAACATCCATTTTCATCAAATTTTCAATGCTTTCCATTTATATCGTCTGTTGTATCAGCCTGAAATTTCCTACAACTCAAAGAGAAAATATAGCCTCACAATAGGAGAGCGTTGACACTGACACGGAACAGTAGAAATCTAGAAGGAGAGAAAAACTATAAAAATCAAGGAGGCTATAAAGGCGTCCTACAATTATAGGAACGACTGAGTTAATTATTAGTTACTCATTTTTTTCTCATAATTAGCTTTAGAAATTGTAAACGATATATCAAAATTAACTCAAATTCTGCAAGTAAGATTAGAAAACATACCACTATTCCCAACTAGCAAAGTAGTGTTATAAGCTTTTGGTAAAAGAACCGTTCAGCCATAAAAGCTCTCTATTGTTGATGCCTGAACACCAAAATGCTGGCTTAATGTTGTGTGGAATGCAAATTTGCTTTCTGCAACATACATATTTGCTCTAAAGTGAGGTGTTTAAAATATTCTTATAGCACAGTTATACAACACCTTATAGGGAAAATTTTTAACTGTTGCATAAACGTTTATACAACTATTTTATACGGCATATTTGCACGTTAGTCAAAATGGTTGTGTTGTGGCACCCATGCTAACATTTATAAAACAAACCCGAGCCTTGTTGCTTTGCTGTGCAATTTACTACTTTAGCCAACAAATTGCTCCCAACGGAAGCACTTATACAACTGTTAAAGGCTGTACATATGCTAAATATGTTGGTATACAACTTCACCATAACCTAACTTTCTGCTGTCATATTTTTGTTAAAATGCCACAACCAATGTTTTAAGACAAACAACAATGAAAACAATCACCTTCATAATCAAATATTTATAGGCGACATCAATATAAACATTTTAGAGGAAAATTCTATGGTGAAACAATATTTAAACATTTTATCAAGTAATGGTTTTTTATCATACATAAATAAAGTAACACGACCCACCAGTAAAACCTGCATTGAGTACTGCTTTATAAAGGATATTTCCAATATTTTTTCTTACATGCCTATTATCTATGAAACCGATATTACAGATCATTATTCCACTGTATTATTGATATCTTCACAAAATAAAAACCAGAACTGCCCAAGGGCAAAAAATGAAAGAAACCTTGAATACAAATATTTCACTGACAACTCAAAATTAATATTTAACGCACAAACGGAATCGTGGGACGAAATTTTTTTAACAAATTCTTTAGACGAAGCTACAAATTTATTAATACACAAAATTCAAAAAGTAATTGAAGTTAGTACTAATAAGGTTAAAATAAGTCACAAGGAAAAAAGCAGAAATGATTGGATGACCAAAGGACTAATAAAATCTGCAAACGAAAAAGAAAGACTGTATAAAATCATGAAATATTTACCCACGAAAGAAAATATAGATCATTATAATCAGTATAAAAACAAATTTATAGAACTTTTGAGAAAAGCAAAAAAAATTACTATATAAAACAATTGAACAATAATTCACATGACTCTAGACACCTATGGTCCACTGTCAATGATATATTCAATAAGTCATCCTATTCAAAAAACAATATTAATGAAATAAAAACAAAAACAGGACAGAAAACAGACAATATTCAGCAAATATGTGATGAGTTCATAGAATTTTTCACGAATATAGGAGGAAACTTAGCAAATAATATCAAACAAAATGCTGATATTCATCTACATGAAACAAGGCTGAATAATTCATTTGTATTAACTGAAGTAGACTATCAGGATGTTTTCAATGCCATTATGACTCTAAAAAATAAAAAAAGCCCTCGAGTTGACGAAATTAGAGCTGAACATCTAAAGATACTTTCCAAACAAATAACAGAACCACTTGCTTATATCATTAACAAATCCTTCCAATCTGGAGTATTTCCATCAGCTTTCAAGACAGCAATCATCATACCTATCTATAAATCTAATAATAATACGGACGTCACTAACTATCGACCTATTTCACTTATATCAAGTTTAGCTAAAGTTTTTGAGAAATTACTCCTTGATAAAATGATAAATTCAAAATTCTAAATTCAAATCAATATGGTTTTATAGCGGGCAAATCTACAACAGATGGGGTATTAAGTATAGTAGATGAAATAACCCAAAATATAGATGGAAAAGTACCATCGATATGCGTATTTGTGGACTTACAAAAAGCGTTTGACACAGTTAACCACAATATACTTTTGGAAATCTTAGAAAGAATAGGTTTTCGTGGAAAGATGTATACTTTAATGGAAAATTATTTATCAAATAGACCGCAATCAGTAAAATTATTAAGCTCGTATAGTAAAGAAATGTTTGTTAAATGTGGTGTTCCACAAGGTACAATTTTAGGTCCTCTGTTATTCAATATTTATTTAAACGATATATTCAAAATTAACAGTACTGGTAAAATAGTCAGTTTTGCAGACGATACTGCTATACTCTATAAAGGTAAGGATTGGAATAACTTAAAAGATATTATCCAAAATGACTTTTGCAAAATTATTCAGTGGTTTAATAACCGAAAATTAACAATTAACTTTACTAAAACTCATTTTTTACCATTTTCATCACTATCTAATCATCTACCAAAATATAACCACCTTCGGTTTAAGGTAAATGATAAAAATATAAAAATCAATAGAGTTAATGATACAAAATATTTAGGAATTTATCTAGATCCCCACTTGAGATGGGATGTATATATTTCTCACATACTAAAGAAAATTAGATTCATAGCATATAAAATAAAATTTCTAACCGGTATATAGTAGTGTGGGGTGCTGCATGCACGACATACTTTAACGATTTAGATGTACTTCAAAGAAGAATTTTAAAATCAATGTTAGGCAAATCAAAATTATACCCAACTAATGACTTATATAATGATGCACAAGTATATGATACTAAACAACTTTACTTCTTACATACCATCACTCATTATCACAAAACTATTAGTGAATACGACATAATTAAACATAATCATAAAACCAGATATAAATTACGCGCAAAAAATGTTCCTAAACTAAACAAATCCCTAATGAAACGATGCCACCTGTATATAGCTCCAAAATTGTACGAACATTCACCAAATAATTTAAAACAATTACGCAATACATTAGGCTTCAAAAAAAATTAATAAAATTTATTAACACGATTGGGAGAAATCAAATTAATAAAATAATCTCAAATATTAAACAATAAATACTCTACCATTCTTACCAATAATTTCTTTTTTCTCTCTATTTTATTATATTTTGCAATTCAACATACATATGATCCATGCACAGGCGTTGTCCTCCTATGGATATATTATATTTATTTACTCGTTTCATGTTCCCTGTATTTTAGAGTAAATAAATATTATTATTATTATTATTATATTATTATATTGGTTCAAAATGTTTTATCAACTGTTCAAACAGAAGATATAGATCTGGTACAAATTCTGGGTAAATCATTCGACTCTGTGATTTCAGACATTTGTCAAATTGTTGTATAACATCTGCAGGCAACACCAAAATATTCTAATAACCTAAAGACAACATGGACGATGTCATGATTATACACAACCACCCGCCATATTGGACAAACATTTATTCGTCTATTTAATATTAAATAATTATGTTTCATTTCGAAATTACAGATATAAAGTGATAAACATTAGTGTAATTGCGTCTAAATATAGGATTTGTGGAAGATTTAACGCAGATAAGTTCAGTTTTCCATCTTAAAAATCTAGACATACATTTGATCATTATCAAAATATGAATCAAATACGAAGCCCGTAGAAATTGCGTAACTAATATAATCACAATAAAATTTGCTGCGCAAGTAATTCAATCGCCCTATACCAGTGTAGAAGTTTATCATATACCTGTATATGAAATTCACAATGGCCGATATGTAAGTAAACAAGATGACTGTAATGTGTTAGTTATATATTCTTCACTTCGTCTATACAATACATAAGAAATAGTTTGGTTGCAATAAAGTAGAATCACGTATGAGAATAGTTGTATAGTTGACAAAAACTGAATCTTGCATTGACGCAAATGTCCTATAGCGGCAAGAAGCTTACACTTTTGTTGTATAACTGTTACCTGCAGCCCTTATACAACCTCTTAAATGACTGAAGTGTCCTATTAGGTGTGCCCATTCCGCTTGTATAGCAGTTCTAAGAGGGTTTTGCCAATGTTCTTACAGTATACAATGCTGTTTAAGGAATCCTGTATAATCATTCTTGCAACTCTAATAGGAGTGATAATTGTTAGTTGGGTTTGACATATCATGATTGTGCGTTTCAACTGTTTTTTTTCCTCATGGCTAGATTGATTTCCTCGTATCAACGTCTACTTATGACCAACTCACCTTGGGGCATTTGCATACCGCTCTATGGCTGCTGACCGTTTCACACTCAGCGTTGACACCGCATTGACTGGTGCATGGGTTTTGACATTTGAATTCGATACAGGCTAGCGAGGGTCCACATTCAGCGTCAGATTCACATTCATGGCGGCATCCGGCTAGAGGAGAACCATGGTAGCCGGGCAAGCAAGTGCAAGTTGGTACTCCGTTGCGTACCTCGCAATTGGTGTTAGTACCGCAGGGGCTGGGATGACAAAGCTCCTCTGAAATAGATGTGATGGTTTAAGAATAATAATTATACATTTATTAATCCAGTAGACCTTGAAAAAATACTGGAAATGTCATTTATTTGATGTTTCAAATTTGCATTTGAGATTATGTAAGGTACAAGTAAGACGCATACACAACGATGAATTAAAAAATCATTCAAAATTACAACAGTCATGGCAGAAGAAAATGAGTCCTATTACTTTGCGGACAAACCCTGTATATAAAATGGCTACAAATTTTTGTAAATTGTGACCAAACTTGAGTAGCACCTTCAAAACAGCAATACGAGTCTGTAACAGAATAAGCTCAGGCATACTCACCAGGATCAAACCTTCTACATCCGGTGAAAGGATCTCCGGTAAATCCAGCAGGACAACTACAAATTGGCACGTGATTCCTTGTTTCGCAGTTTGCGTTCGCACCGCATACTCCAGCACAGGGATCAATGCAGTTCCCGGCACTGCAAGTCTTATGACCAGGACAGTCACTGGTATCCAAACATTCTGCTCTATAATATTAAAAAGAAGTACAAATATACTAAGTGACATATAAATCCGAACACCCAGTTTAAATGGTTTTATTTTAATAAAATTTGTATAAGTACTTAATGAAGCATAATAAGTAAATGATAAAAATTTCAAAATGATTGCACTGCTTTAAAGCCCTTTGACCTTTAATAATGTGTGGATGCACCCTGATGTGCTACGCATTCTCCAACGCGCCTAGGCATGCTTCTGATCAGGTGGTCAATGTCCTCCTGTGGTATCTCATTCCAGGCAACCACCAACTCCTCTCGAAGTGCTTCTAGAGTCTGAGGAGGACGTTGCAAATTGAGCAATCTCCTACCCATCATATCCCATACGTGCTCAATTGGGGATAAGTCGGGAGATCTTGGTGGCCATGGTAACAATGTGACATCATTATGTTGAAAGAAGTCTATTGTGACTCTTGCAACATGTGGTCGGGCATTATCTTGTTGGAAAGTTGGATCTGCCAGGGTGTCAAGATGGGGTTAAAGATGGGGTTCTAGAACTTCGTGGATATAACGCTGCGCGTTCATGTTACCTCTGATGAAGATTGAAGGTGACCTGGAACCATAAGCTATAGCACCCCAAACCATAACTCCAACAGTGTGATAAACATGTATTTCAACAAAAAACTGTGGATTCCTCCTTTCACCACGTCGCCTTCTAACCCTGGCACGACCATCGTGCATGCCTAAACAAAATCGAGACTCGTCACTAAAGACAATACTGTTCCATTCCTGATCCCAGAGTGACCGTTGTCTGCACCACTCAAGGCGATGTTCTCGGTGTTCTCGAGTTAAAGGGAGGACCCAGTGTGGCCGGTATGAAAACAAGCCAAAACTTCTCATTCATCGGTAAACACTTCGCATGCCAATAGGTGTTCCGTGATCTGCAAACCATTCATTTGCAATGGACCTGATAGTGGAGAATCTAAGTATACTTTATCTGAAGTCACTTGAAACACTGTGAAATACCGGGTGCGTTTTATATATCTATATTTAACACGCTCTGTTGCTGCAAAAATCGCCAAATTTCGCAGCAAATATCCCCCGTATAAGATCAAAGGCAGTTTCACCGGTCCACGTGGAGTAAAGCACGCCTATGCGTGGACATAGCCAATGAGAAAGCGTGTATTTCAGAGCTCCGAACAAGTGCAGGTGGCTACTGAAAATTGAAACAGTTTAGCCACTGCCGTGTAGCGGTGAATAAACGTGTTTTCTTTAGTCTGTCCGTGTTTTTTCATAGATTTTATTAGTTTGTGTGTTTTTGACTTTTGAATACTCGGTTTACTTGTTGATTTAATTGTTGTGTTGATTGTTCCTGTGTGTCCTAAATATGGCTCTTTGGAGACCTTGGGAAAATGCTCCAAGCCACGAGGAGATGGTTGATGAACTTGTGCAGGCAGAATTCTTTCATAAAGATTTAGAGGAACAGACCCAAAGAGTAATCCTAAATATGTATGATTGTCTGAAAAACAAAAATCCAGATTCCTCGCAAAATCAAATTTTAAACAGAATTTGTATCCTGACAAAAATCAGTCGGTCTACCATTTATCGGGTTATAAAAAGGGGAGATGTAGTCAACCATTCCTTCCACAGAAAGCGCATAGAGCAAAAATTAAAAAGAATAGACGTGGGTTTTCAGGAAGATATTCGTCGTATAATATACGGATTTTATAAAGAAAATTTGGTGCCCACGTTGGAAATGATACGGGATAAATTAAAAGATTATCCTGAAGATTTTTATAATTACAAATGCTTAGACTCACTGCACTGTATTGTAAAACTGTGTGGTTTTCAATACAGAAAATTAGATAAAAGAATGGTGATTATGGATGGAGTCGTCTCGAATCGTTGAATTGCGCCAAGAATTTTTACACAAAGTTAAAATCTATAGAGAGCAGAAAAGAAATCTGATTTACCTGGATGAAACGTGGTATGATACCCATGATGTCGTGCAGTACGGCTGGGTTGACGACAGCAACAAGTGCAATTTTAAATGCACCATGCATCCGTGGAAAACGAATCATTATTCTCCATGCTGGCAGTGAAAATGGATTTATACCTAATGCCTTGCTGTTATCTGCCAAAAATATCAAAGAATCATGTGCCGACTATCATGAGGACATGACCTCCGACTTATTTGAAAAGTGGATAGAGCAGCAGTTAATACCAAACATTTCCCCAAATTCAGTGATTATTATGGACAATGCGCCATACCATTCCCGACAGAAAAACAAAATTCCGAATACAGGCACAAAAAATTATTGGATCTTATTAAAAGACAAAAATTTGAAAAAGAGTATGTTGTTGACAATCTGCTTCAGCAAAATGGCCATGAAGTATTACGTCTACCTCCCTATTACTGCATTTTTAACCCGATTGAGTTGGTCTGGGCTGCTTTAAAAAAAAAAGTAAGAAAACATAATCAGACCCCTCAATTAAGTGAATCGCTATTGGCCACAATAACAGATGCAGTATCTCATATTGCTGCCACAGACCGATGGAAGCAGTGTTCTAGGCATATTATTGAAAAAGAAAATGAATATTGTGTTTTGCCTCCTGTAAATCCCGTTGTAATTCCTCTACAAGATGACTCTAGCGACAGCTCCGAAGGCGAGGATGATATATAAATACCTATAATGTAAGTCTTTATATACCTACCTGCTATGTAAATATTTGCCTATGTCAAACGTTGGAATTCTGTAATTTTTCCATTTCTTAACTTTCAGTCAACATAAATTAAACTCCCAATATAAGTATTTTTTATCCCAAATCAAAAAAATAAGAAGATAGTAAAATCCATTTATTGTGATATAAAAACATTATTATTATCGTTCTAAATAAATGACCGCACGCCTATGATACGTCATGAAATTGCAAAGGACGCGCCGACCAAAGGTTTTTATGCTATTTCAAGTGACTTCAGATAAAGTATACCTAGGTTTAAAAACTATTATAATATACCATGTACAGGGTAAGCATGGATATAACTTCTAGATGCTAACCTTATGCAGTTGGTCAAAGGATCTCCAGAGTGTCCTCGTAGGCAAGAACATACAGGACGTCCACCAACGATAGAACACTGTGCATTGCGACCGCAAGTACTGGCAGTACAAGTACATGTGCCAGTCTCACAGGTTGAATAGTAAGGGTGGAGCATACCTAAAGAATGAAAACAATAATCGGGTGTTGAGGATGAACGTACGGTTGCCCTTGGGGCATATCGATGACATAATTGTATTAGAAATAAATGTTATTTTGAAATTACGCATGTAGTGCTGTTAATAAAGCAATATAATTTCCAAATTCTACTTGTTCATTTTGTTTTACGGAAAGGCTGTTAAATTAACGGAAATGTTAACAAAGTCTATCCTCCAAATGACATGACAAACAATTGATTTGATACGTTTCAAGGTATATCGAAATAAGACAGCACAAAGTGGCATCTACTTTGCCAGAATCGACCACTGCGAAAGTGATAACAGTAAGTTGGAACTGTATCCCAGTTCCCAATGGCAGCCGGGTCACCACTGTAGCCGCTAGATGCCACAGATTCTGGTGCTCTGTTAGATACGGTCTACACGCTATTCAGCAGTAGTCTATTCTACAAGTATATTCAGATAAGAGATAGACCGGATGTAAACATAAGGTTCGGGTGATTTTCACGCTAACGCCGCCGTCTCGACGTAAAACAGGAGCCCTCATTGGTCAATTCGCAATTAAATGCCTATGCCGAGCGGCAGAGCAGTCGTATCAAGGCAGAGTCACATTCAGGTTCAGACGTGTTACGTATGTCGTGTGCATCATTGCAATTTGATATTTCTTTGGACGTTTTCGTTTGTTATCTTATTAAGTTGTTGAGTTTGTCGTTGTTATTGTTATACCTTGTTATTGATTGTTATTGTTATCAACTGCTTGCGCAAAATGCCCAGTAGTACAGATACTGCCGATGAAGTTGTAAACTCCTGTAGTCCACCTAGGAAACGCTCTAAAAAAAGACACCTGAGTGCAGAAATGAAAGAGGTCATTTTGAATATATATAAGATCGAGCGCGAGGAGAACGAGGCATCAACCATCAAAGAAATTGTTGTGAAGGTTTCTCACAAAGTTGGGGTGTGTCGCGCATCAGTGTTTAATGTGTTAAGACAATACAAAAAAAATCACACCTTTTCTGAGTCAATGACCAGTAAACATCGCAAAAGTATTGTTAAATCATTGGATGAAGCTGATAAGCATGCGATTAGGAGGAAAGTGCAAGAATTCTTCTTTAGGAATGAAATACCTACTATAGATAAAGTACTGCAGGAGGTAAATGGAGATACAACGTTGCCAAATTTCAAACGATCAACTTTCCATGCGTTACTGAAGCATTTAAATTTCAAATGGAAAAAACGAGGTCGTAATAGTTTGCTACTGGATAGAGAAGAAATTGTGCTATGGAGGAGGGATTATTTAACAAAAATTGGGAAATATAGAAATCAAAACAGGAAGATTTATTACCTTGATGAAACGTGGGTAAACGCAGGACACACTACAAGTAAGGTATGGGTTGATGATTCTGTAACTTCATCCAGGAGGGCCTTTCTAGATCGACTGTCCACCGGATTAAAAAATCCAGCAGGTAAATACGAGTAATAGACAACAATCGGATGTTTTTCAAACCTTGGGAACAAGGTTCTAAACATTAATTCCAGGGGGCAGATAAAACATATTACAAGTAACAAAACTTTTATAACTTTCGATAAAATGCGTGGATGTTTTATTGTCATTTTCATTTGTTAGAACTTTTTTAAGCCATGTTTTTATGTGTTTTCGATATTTCTAATCATTTTAATTCATACTTTAAGCTTTATAAAGTTATAATTTGTTAATATTAATATTTGCGCGTATTTCAGGTTCCTGATCATTCATTTTTTAAAGGTTTATAACTTTAAATTAAATTGTGAAGCGCTGAGTAATCATACGACGTTCAATATTCTTTCTTTCAATATGACTAAATAATCCCAATTATAGCAATCTGATACTTATGTCTCAATGTTTTTTCGCTGAATGTGATGAAAACATTTGAAAAAGGTTCGCTTATTGAAATAAATCTACACCAGTTAGTACTTCGATTTCCAGGTAAAGGGAAAAGGCTCATTATCTGCCATATTGGCAGTGAGGATGGATTTGTTGTTGACGGTCTGTGGTGCTTTGAGTCTAAGAAAACTGGAGATTACCACGAGGAAATGAATGGCGAATCGTTTGAACAGTGGTTTTCAAAAATTTTACCGAACTTAGAGGAAAACGCAGTAATTGTGTTGGATAATGCGCCTTATCATTCTCGAAGAATGGAGAAGGTCCCAACAACGGCTTCAAGGAAAGTTGATGTTCAAAATTGGCTCCGCTCGAAAAATATCAACTTTGAAGAAGCAATGCTGAAAGTACAATTATTAAGAATTGTCAAGGATCACAAGGCGGAATATCAAAAATACGCCATTGACGAAGTGGCAGCAAGTCAAAATAAAACTGTGCTCCGTTTACCTCCATACCATTGCGAGCTCAATCCCATTGAGCTCATATGGGCAGAGGTTAAAAATTATATAGCTAAGCACAATACAACTTTTAAATTTTGTGACCTCAAAGGACTTTTCAAAGAAGCACTAGAATTAATAACAGCGCAAAAATGGGAAAACTGTATTAAGCACGTGAAAGACAAAGTTGAAAAGAGAATGTGGGAACTGGACAATATTTTAGAGGAACAAGTCGAGCCATTCATTATTGACGTTGGTGCTTCAGGCAGTAGCGATGATGAAAGCTCATCAAGCTCATCTTTCCAATAAAAGATGTCGTTCATCAAATTCGGTAAGTTATAAGTAATTATAAAGCTACTGTATTTTTTAATTAATTATTGACATTTTTGAACCCATTTTGGCAAAACCTATTCAAGAACCTACTTTCTGACGATGTTCAACCATGCACATTTTTTTACGTTTTGAACGTTTTAATTTGGTTACATATTTACCTAGAAATCAAAAAATATACTAATCAATATTCTAAAAGCAATTTTAAGAGATATACGATTATTTTTAATTTAGGCTAATTTAAACGCCATTTTGAGATTATATTCGACTGTATTTCACCAAACATCAGGCAGGATCCGAAGCTGGAAATCGAAGCGAAAATTTTGAAACCCTTATGTATATTTACATCATTATATATTTCTTACCCCACCCCCACATGATCCTATATCCATCACCAATCGTATATACATCGAATTGTGCTAATTTACTGCAAAGTTACGCAAAGCAGCATCTACTATCTAAAATATGTACTGCGTGACTCTTAATACGTCCCTGCCGAATGTTACAGCGTTCGATGATCACGTGGTCTTGTTTATGTCCGGTCTATCTCTTATCTGAATATACTGTAGGATCGTGTGAACGTCCATCTAAGGAGGAATAACTCAACCAGAGTTGCCAGACGTACGATAATTATGGTTTCTGTACGATAATTTCAAGTACTGTACGATGTACGATACTATGTGTAGGATAATAGCTGAATGTACGATAATTTTGCGAATGAACTTTTTTACACACAGATGTTGAATCAATCTAACAACTACGTTCAATTAACACCAGCAAGCAGCTGTCAGCGTTGCCGCTTGTTAGACAAGCGCGCGTACCCCACTCTGTATAATGGGTTGCCTAGCATTACGCGAACTATGTCGGCAAATATCAATGGGAAAAATTGCCGCCAATCAGTTCTATGTATTGACATGACGCGCATATTTTTTTTAACCCATGTGCATTAGATGAAATGAATGCGACGTCTCCCGTTTGTATGACTTTTGAAACTTAAAAATCAAAAGATCGTTTTCAGCTATTTTCGATATTTAACCGGTTTCAATTCAATAACGATAATATGTCGGATTCCGAAGCACAACAAAAGATGCGATACTATCGAATATAGAAAACAAAGAAAAGGAGCGAAATCTTTGAAGAAAGCCACACATAGACAGCAAGCTTATAGGACAGAGACGGAAATTTTCCTTCATCATGAATCCTCAGAGGACCTAAGGCACGGTGTAGGGTAATGTACGATGATTGTGACGTGTTTGTACGATAATTCCCTGCGACGAATCTGGTCAGCACTCAACTACACTACACGTATTATTGGTTGCATATGTCTTGTGGCCAAATAGTCCTTGTCTGTAGTTTTTAACTCTGAGAAGAAAGTTCGTTGAATAGCAAGATCGCATCTGGATGATTTTGTGTATTGGTCTGCATGTATATAAAATCAGTGATATTTGCTATGTGAGAAAATCATTACTGAATATGCTGCCAATCAAGTATATCTATTTATGTTGTGCTTTCTGAAGAAAGGCTATGTTCAAAGTTATAAATTACGAAAAACATTACCGCGCCCGCGTTGTGTGTTATTATTGTTAGCATGTATCTGGCTTGCAATTCGACAGTGTACTGTGAATATAATTATTTCTTATCTCTCTCATTTTTCAAATTCAGCAAATTTGTATATGTAATTTCCAGAATGGATAAGAAAAAGTAGATGCGCAACTAATTTCTCGCTTTGAATCTCAATTAAGTGTATTTGAGACAAGAACCCAATGTAATTATCATCAACACATACAAGTTACAGCTCAGATCTCCAGTAATGCCATCTCAGAAGCAGATTTTACATCACATCAGAGCCAAAGATTGATAACAAGCCTCATGACGTCTAGGCAACACGAACAACTAAGTGCTAAGTTAATATACTAAGTGACATATAAATCCGAACACCCAGTTTAAATGGTTTTATTTTAATAAAAGTTGGTGCATGTATTTATCTTACTGTAAATAATAAGTGAAAAAATTTTCAGCCTTATCAGTTGGACATTCCGGTTTTTATCCTGCTTTTTTTTAAATTCACTAACGCTCTAAAAATGAATATTTCAGCCGCAGTAAAGAATCAACGTTGGCGGATTTTGGTTCTTGACATCCTTTACGATCGGTTACGATGCCTAGAGTACCGAGACCTGTACGATTTCGTCAACTTAGTGAGTTTGATAGGGGCCGTATAGTGGGACTTCGGGAAGCTGGACTTTCTTTTCGGGTAATTGAAGTTAGAGTGCAAAGAAGTGTAGACACTGTGGGTAGGTGTTGTCAGGCATGGCTTCGAGAAGGCCGTACGCAAAGAGCAAGGGGCACTGGACGCCGCCGTAGAACAACAGACCGTGAAGATCGCCGCCTAAGATTATTGGCCTTAAGGGATCGTCTCTCCACTACCAGGTCTACTCCAAATGAATGGTTTGCAGAACACGGAAGACCTACTGGCATACGAAGTGTTTACCGACGAATGAGAAGTTTTAGCTTGTTTTCATACCGGCCACACTGGGTCCTCCCTTTAACTCGAGAACACCGACGTAATCGCCTTGAGTGGTGCAGACAACGGTCACTCTGGGATCAGGAATGGAACAGTATTGTCTTTAGTGACGAGTCTCGATTTTATTTAGGCATGCACGATGGTCGTGCCAGGGTTAGAAGGCGACGTGGTGAAAGGAGGAATCCACAGTTTTTTGTTGAAAGACATGTTCATCACACTGTTGGAGTTATGGTTTGGGGTGCTATAGCTTATGGTTCCAGGTCACCTTTAATCTTCATCAGAGGTAACATGAACGCGCAGCGTTATATCCACGAAGTTCTAGAACCCCATCTTTCACCCTATCTTGACACCCTGGCAGATCCAACTTTCCAACAAGATAATGCCCGACCACATGTTGCAAGAGTCACAATAGACTTCTTTCAACATAATGATGTCACATTGTTACCATGGCCACCAAGATCTCCCGACTTATCCCCAATTGAGCACGTGTGGGATATGATGGGTAGGAGATTGCTCAATTTGCAACGTCCTCCTCAGACTCTAGAAGCACTTCGAAAGGTGTTGGTGGTTGCCTGGAATGAGATGCCACAGGAGGACATTGACCACCTGATCAGAAGCATGCCTATTCGCGTTGGAGAATGCGTAGCACATCAGGGTGCATCCACACATTATTAAAGGTCAAAGGGCTTTAAAGCAGCGCAATCATTTTGAAATTTTTATCATTTACTTATTATGCTTCATTAAGTACTTATACAAAATTTTATTAAAATAAAACCATTTAAACTGGGTGTTCGGATTTATATGTCACTTAGTATATCTTGTAGAAAAAACTACATAATGTCAAAAAAAAATCGTCATAATGTCACTTTTCAAGATACGTGATACCCGTGCAGGCCTAGATCATGCTGATGAGTTGCCAAATAGCACGAAACGGCTGTCCATGGCTGGTCGTTCATCTAACAAAAAGCTATATAACTAGTTTATTTCAAGGTATATTTTGTTTATTTAAGATTATGCTAATAAAAATGGAAACCTTTCGAATAAATATGAAATTATAATGAACTCACCGTGGGTCCCTGCAACATACAGGGCCAGTAATAACCCGAACAGGATCTGCGGCCCCACTGTAATTGAAAAATTCATATATTGTCTCTCATACTGGATGTATCTCTACTAGGGTGTCCCAAAAAAATTAAAGCTCTTTTTCTTCAAAAGTAGCTGATCTCTGGTATTATTGATATACTAGTCGTCTAAATAAAATGTTAATTTAATACTAACGCGTGCGAACCATATTCTAAGGAGTGTTTATTTGATTATGCGTATGTTGATTTTAACCTTGATTGATATTTCGATATAATTATTCATCTCTGAAATTCGCAATATTTTTTGCACAACCACATTTGGTCTTCCTCCTACTTGCAGTTAATTACGAACGGGCATAAACATGACGTTGTCATGATGTATATCTAAGCACCGAGAAACAAACAAGTCAATCTTGGAAGCACTCGTTGTTGAAGTGGTTTCATTATTTTTACATGACTCGTGTAACTATACTAAGTGACATATAAATCCGAACACCCAGTTTAAATGGTTTTATTTTAATAAAAGTTGGTGAATGTATTTATCTTGCTGTAAATAACAAGTGAAAAAATTTTCGGCGTTATCAGTTGGACATTCCGGTTTTTATACTGTTTTTTTTTAATTCACTAACGCTCTAAAAATGAGTATTTCAGCCGCAGTAAAGAATCAACGTTGGCGGATTTTGGTTCTTGACATCCTTTACGATCGGTTACGATGCCTAGAGTACGAAGACCTGTACGATTTCGTCAACTTAGTGAGTTTGATAGGGGCCGTATAGTGGGACTTCGGGAGCTGGACTTTCTTTTCGGGCAATTGCAGTTAGAGTGCAAAGAAGTGTAGACACTGTGGTTAGGTGTTGTCAGGCATGGCTTCGAGAAGGCCGTACGCAAAGAGCAAGGGGCACTGGACGCCGCCGTAGAACAACAGACCGTGAAGATCGCCGCCTAAGATTATTGGCCTTAAGGAACCGTTTCTCCACTACCAGGTCCATTGCAAATGAATGGTTTGCAGAACACGGAAGACCTATTGGCATGCGAAGTGTTTACCGACGAATGAGAAGTTTTGGCTTGTTTTCATACCGGCCACACTGGGTCCTCCCTTTAACTCGAGAACACCGACGTAATCGCCTTGAGTGGTGCAGACAACGGTCACTCTGGGATCAGGAATGGAACAGTATTGTCTTTAGTGACGAGTCTCGATTTTGTTTAGGCATGCACGATGGTCGTGCCAGGGTTAGAAGGTGACGTGATGGAAGGAGAAATCCACAGTTTTTTGTTGAAAGACATGTTCATCACACTGTTGGAGTTATGGTTTGGAGTGCTATAGCTTATGGTTCCAGGTCACCTTTAATCTTCATCAGAGGTAACATGAACGCGCAGCGTTATATCCACGAAGTTCTAGAACCCCATCTTTTACCCTATCTTGACACCCTGGCAGATCCAACTTTCCAACAAGATAATGCCCGACCACATGTTGCAAGAGTCACAATAGACTTCTTTCAACATAATGATGTCACATTGTTACCATGGCCACCAAGATCTCCCGACTTATCCCCAATTGAGCACGTGTGGGATATGATGGGTAGGAGATTGCCCAATTTGCAACGTCCTCCTCAGACTCTAGAAGCACTTCGAGAGGAGTTGGTGGTTGCCTGGAATGAGATACCACAGGAGGACATTGACCACCTGATCGGAAGCATGCCTAGGCGCGTTGGAGAATGCGTAGCACATCAGGGTGCATCCACACATTATTAAAGGTCAAAGGGCTTTAAAGCAGTGCAATCATTTTGAAATTTTTATCATTTACTTATTATGCTTCATTAAGTACTTATACAAAATTTTATTAAAATAAAACCATTTAAACTGAGTGTTCGGATTTATATGTCACTTAGTATATTAGATACGTAATTATTTCTAAATGACATCCAAGTATTACGTAGCAGGTTTTTTACAATTATTAACCCCCTACCCATTGTCAGCAAAACTAAGCAATTCCCTTACCCTATGTGACTGTGAACTATGTGACTGCCTTTTTACACCTTATTCATTTATATGTATAATTTCATTGTATTCCTTTTTGCTAGCTCATCACCTTCTGTTTATAGAGGGATGTCTTTTAAGTTTTGCATATAGAAACATAGTAGGCCGCGCGGATCGAACGTCAGTACTGAATCTTAACCTAGCTCTTTAGTAAACTTAAATTCAAAGTTTCACAACAATACGTGGCAGTATTTAACGGAAGAAACGTGGAATTATTGGACCATCCTCCATATAGTCCCGATCTAAGTCCTAACGATTTCTCTACTTTCCCGAAAATTAAAAACAGACTGCGTGGTCAAAGGTTCCAGTCACCAGAAGAAGCAGTTTTGGATCTGCCAGCAAACGAGTGGAATAAGCGCATGCAGATGTGTATTAATCTTCGTGGAGAATACTTCGAAAAACAATAAAGTCATCTAAAACTACCTACCGTGTTGTTTTATTTCCATATGCAAAACTTAAAAGACATCCCTCGTACACTGTAATAGCAGTTCGGTTCGTGTACATTATTGTCATAACCTCTGGACAGGTAGCGATCCTGTCGCGATGTGTAAATCAAACATTATTACCAACGATGTTAAACCAATCAACACAAAAAATAAAACTGACTGTAAATGTGTTTGTGGCTTAAAGGAATACGTAAAACTTCCTGAGTAAACGTTCCTGCGTTCTCGCGATTTGAATTTTAATGATTGTATTTCCTTTATGTCCACAAAACAAATGACGGCGAAAGGATACATTGAAATAACACAAATAAGTTAAGTATCTATATATCTATCTGTTTATATTTTTACAATTAAATAGTTACAAGGAAAACACCTGATGTTTCTATTTTAGTTCAATACCAAGCATCTTAAGAATGAGAATAATATTCCGGTTTTAGAAATTCAAGGGCGTTTATTCATGAGACATTTGCTTGATTATGTGTTATTTTTGCTAATCACTATGAATTAGTTATTTCCAAAAATATATTGCCGTTTAAGTATACTAGCGTTATGATTCTTTCGTTTTCCTGTGACAAAATGTAGAGGAGTGTAACCCGTGTGACACTGCGAAAAATACGGTTTTGGATATGACAACATGAAACAGTTAAACAGTTTCATCGTTTATTAATATTTCTCGTTTACATTTACACTTTTAAAAAGTCAGAGATAATCTGCATTACACTCACTGGATCTTTGAGATCATGTGTGGACAAAACACGTCAGTAAAAGAACAAACGTCATAGGTTTCAAAGCAAAAAGCGTTTCAGGATCTACAATAGAAGAATTAAAAAACAAAATTGTAAATGCTTGCGGAGAAATAAGAAATTTTAGCACGAGTTCGTCGTTCAATGATTCGTCGAGTGAGAAGGTGTTGTAGTGCACTTTATGTCATGGCAAAGCTTCAATATCACTTTCCTAGATTTTTTTTGATTTTCTGTTTTCCAAGGCACTTGTGATTTTTTTAGCAAAAATTAATAAACCAATTTTGTCCAGGCACATGCAGTAAAACGGTTTATATTTCTTTTTTCTCGCAAATGAAGCGAGATACGAAAAAAATACAAGAGGCAAAAAGTTGTATTTTTAGATGCTTCATCAAACAAAAAATAATAAAATTACAAAAAAGGCAGTGGCGTACATTTTTTTGCCAATAATATTCGCTAAGGTGCCACTGGACCTAATATACTAAGTAACATATAAATCCGAACACCCAGTTTAAATGGTTTTATTTTAATAAAAGTTGAGGAATGTATTTATCTTACTGTAAATAACAAGTGAAAAAAATTTCTCTTATCTCTTATCAGTTGGACATTCCGGTTTTTATACTGCTTTTTTTTAATTCACTAACGCTCTAAAAATGAATATTTCAGCGGCAGTAAAGAATCAACGTTGGCGGATTTTGGTTCTTGACATTCTTTACGATCGGTTACGATGCCTAGAGTACGGAGACCTGTACGATTTCGTCAACCAGGCGAGTTTGATAGGGGCCGTATAGTGGGACTTCGGGAAGCTGGACTTTCTTTTCGGGCAATTGCAGTTAGAGTGCAAAGAAGTGTAGACACTGTGGTTAGGTGTTGTCAGGCATGGCTTCGAGAAGGCCGTACGCAAAGAGCAAGGGGCACTGGACGCCGCCGTAGAACAACAGACCGTGAAGATCGCCGCCTAAGATTATTGGCCTTAAGGGACCGTTTCTCCACTACCAGGTCCATTGCAAATCAATGGTTTGCAGAACGCGGAAGACCTATAGGCATGCGAAGTGTTTACCCACGAATGAGAAGTTTTGGCTTGTTTTCATACCGGCCACACTGGGTCCTCCCTTTAACTCGAGAACACCGACGTAATCGCCTTGAGTGGTGCAGACAACGGTCACTCTGGGATCAGGAATGGAACAGTATTGTCTTTAGTGACGAGTCTCGATTTTGTTTAGGCATGCACGATGGTCGTGCCAGGGTTAGAAGGCGACGTGGTGAAAGGAGGAATCCACAGTTTTCTGTTGAAAGACATGTTCATCACACTGTTGGAGTTATGGTTTGGGGTGCTATAGCTTATGGTTCCAGGTCACCTTTAATCTTCATCAGAGGTAACATGAACGCGCAGCGTTATATCTACGAAGTTCTAGAACCCCATCTTTTATCCTATCTTGACACCCTGGCAGATCCAACTTTCCAACAAGATAATGCCCGACCACATGTTGCAAGAGTCACAATAGACTTCTTTCAACATGATGATGTCACATTGTTACCATTTCCACCAAGATCTCCCGATTTATCCCCAATTGAGCACGTGTGGGATATGATGGGTAGGAGATTGCTCAATTTGCAACGTCCTCCTCAGACTCTAGAAGCACTTCGAGAGGAGTTGGTGGTTGCCTGGAATGAGATACCACAGGAGGACATTGACCACCTGATCAGAAGCATGCCTAGGCACGTTGGAGAATGCGTAGCACATCAGGGTGCATCCACACATTATTAAAGTTGAAAGGGCTTTAAAGCAGTGCAATCATTTTGAAACTTTTATCATTTACTTATTATGCTTCATTAAGTACTTATACAAAATTTTATTAAAATGAAACCATTTATACTGGGATTTATATGTCACTTAGTATAATTTTAATCTATTTAAGGCTGAATTAGCTTCTTAATACAATGAATAATACTGTCAAATTTCAACAGAATGGATTGAATATTTTTTAATATATTAATAAAAAAAGTAATTTTCCTGTATGCTGAAAACTCATATTTTTTAACAAGAAATCAATCTCTAACTCTAAGATGTCTCGGTCTATTTTTCTAATATCCTGTATATCATATTAGATTTTCAGGCAAATCGACAGGGACCCATCTTCCATATGTTTAGCTTAGCAACATCTTTACTACTTACTTCTGTTGATACGATGTTAACTGCTAGTCACTTTAACACGGACTGATCCGGATACCTCACCGTTGGAAAGAATCAACACATCTACCTTGACATCCCACAAGAGCCAGACATGTAAACACCGTCCAACTCTTTATATATTCAAATTAATCGTTCGTATAATAAATATGATAAACCTGAAACTGAAAAGATGACGTAACGCCGTGACTGCGGGGGCGACAGATTTGTTGTGTTCTGACTATACAATGCCGGATCCTTATTTGGAGAATGCGAAATCGTTGCGAGTCTGCAGAAGAAAATTTATTGTTGACAGGCGACGCCGACGCCAAGTACGCAGAAAATAGTGCGCCAAAAAGATTGACACTTACGTATGCCCTAAAAGTTTTGACACAAAATGCATTGGCTTTAGTTTTATCAAACACAAAATAATATCAAGTTGACCTCATCATGAATTAAACTCACTGCATTCGTAATTAAAGTGGTCGCGTATGACCTTTTATTGCCCATTATCAAACTTGATAAAAAAGGCACTCAAGAACAATCACACCAACAACAATTCAACAACACAATATCGAGGAACAGTAACAAGGGGAGAAAAATACTAAATGATCACTTGCTGAGTACCAAAATAAGAAACGATTTACAGGCTAGATCGCTAATCAAGTGGGCCAGAAAGTTCTTCTTTCTATGGGATGTAGCGGACTTTCTTTGGCCAAACTAGCAACAATTTTTACTTTAGTTTAGTACTGTAGTAGTTCTTTATAGTCTAGTAGCCGGTTTTACTATCGACCGACGGGAATCAAAATTCGCGCCTTTGGCACAAATTGGACCAATCAGAAGCCTAAATGCCAGAACACCGCGACTGATATGAGGATATCCCAAAGAAACTTGGTTAATCCGATTTTTCAACTGCTTAAGGTTAGTAGAACAGGGAGAATCCTCTTGTAGACTATTCCGCAATTTCGACACCCTACGGACAAAGGAGCGGTCTTATGGGTCAGTCCTGGATGTACCAAGTTCGACTGTTAGGATGGGAGCCTGTTGTTGTACTGGTAGATAGTGGTAGAAAAGAGCTACATAGATCGCCGACTTCCCGCCAGTGCGAACGGATCCCGAGACTGTCTGTTAGTGAAGAGTCATCGATCAATCGGACTGTCCTTCTCTGTTCAGCATCGAGGATGAATAATGTAGTCTGGGCAGCCGCACACCAAACGTCATGTGGAGAAAAGTAGTTCTTAGCCCTAAACGAATAGCCCAGCTTTTTCCCAGCAGCTGCTGCTATTGACAAGATGTGGTCGATGATCTGAACTCCGACCAGCCGAAATGAACGGTTCTTTGACGATCTTCCGAAAGCGGATGACCGCTAGGGCGCTTTTTGTTCGTCAAGGCACAGTGCAGTGTTTTGGAAGCATTAAACTGTACAAGATTGTTGCGTCGCCAAGCAGTGATAACCTCCAGGTCTCTTGTCAGAGAGGAAGTCAATGCTAGTCTTCTTTTTTTCCAACTCACCGGCAGAGAGCGGCTTGCCGCTATGAATTCCTGCATGTAGAGTGCTGTCATCCGCAAAGCTGTGGATTGAATTAACCATATAGGAAAGGAATGCATAAAATACCGTGGAGGCCCAAATTATTTAATTAATTTTTTTACATTTTTCCAACGGTTGGATTTTTTGATCAATTACTGCCCTAACCCCAAGAGACATGAATACAAAAAATTGTATTAATAAATTAATTATTTTACTGGCCAGTATATTTATTTAATTTACTTTCGGCATGATTGTACAGGAATAGTCGAAAATGATTCTCGAAGCACCTCATTTCGAGAATTGACCCGCTGGCGACTTTATCTAGCAATGAAATAATTAAATTACGTACTGTTTCACCGATCGTCCTAACATGGAATTTTTCTATTTTATTGATCCGGTTTATAAGTATATTTAAGGTCAAACACATGAATATGTATGTTCCATACAAATTTTTCTTTTCTCAAACCCACATATTATCTAATACAAATCGTAGCAACTTAATAAGGTGTCAAACGAAACATTTATAGAACAAAAAAAAATGGCGTCACTTAGGCTAACTCTGCACTTCGCACGCAACGTCGTTATCAGTTCATAAAATATTATGTTCAACACACACTACAGTATATTCAGATAAGAGATAGACCGGATGTAAACAAAAGGTTCGGCTGATTTTCACGCTAACGCCGCCGTCTCGACGTAAAACAGGAGCCCTCATTGGTCAATTCGCAATTAAATGCCCATGCCGAGCGGCAGAGCAGTCGTATCAAGGCAGAGTCACATTCAGGTTCAGACGTGTTACGTATGTCGTGTGCATCATTGCAATTTGATATTTCTTTGGACGTTTTCGTTTGTTATCTTATTAAGTTGTTGAGTTTGTCGTTGTTATTGTTATACCTTGTTATTGATTGTTATTGTTATCAACTGCTTGCGCAAAATGCCCAGTAGTACAGATACTGCCGATGAAGTTGTAAACTCCTGTAGTCCACCTAGGAAACGCTCTAAAAACAGACACCTGAGTGCAGAAATAAAAGAGGTCATTTTGAATATATATATGTATAAGATCGAGCGCGAGGAGAACGAGGCATCAACCATCAAAGAAATTGTTGTGAAGGTTTCTCACAAAGTTGGGGTGTGTCGCGCATCAGTGTTTAATGTGTTAAGACAATACAAAAAAAATCACACCTTTTCTGAGCCAATGACCAGTAAACATCGCAAAAGTATTGTTAAATTATTGGATGAAGCTGATAAGCATGCGATTATGAGGAAAGTGCATGAATTCTTCTTTAGGAATGAAATACCTACTATAGATAAAGTACTGCAGGAGGTAAATGGAGATAAAACGTTGCCAAATTTCAAACGATCAACTTTCCATGCGTTACTGAAGCATTTAAATTTCAAATTGAAAAAACGGGGTCGTAATAGTTTACTACTGGATAGAGAAGAAATTGTGCTATGGAGGAGGGATTATTTAACAAAAATTGGGAAATATAGAAATCAAAACAGGAAGATTTATTACCTTGATGAAACGTAGGTAAACGCAGGACACACTACAAGTAAAGTATGGGTTGATGATTCTGTAACTTCATCCAGGAGGGCCTTTCTAGATGGACTGTCCACCGGATTAAAAAATCCAGCAGGTAAATACGAATAATAGACAACAATCGGATGTTTTTCAAACCTTGGGAACAAGGTTCTAAACATTAATTCCAGGGGGCAGATAAAACATATTACAAGTAACAAAACATTTATAACTTTCGATAAAATGCGTGGATGTTTTATTGTCATTTTCATTTGTTAGAACTTTTTTAAGCCATGTTTTTATGTGTTTTCGATATTTCAATAATTTTTTAATATAATCTTAAAATATGTCGAATATTATAAACTTAAAAAAAGTTACTAAGTTTTATATTGTGTACCGTTCCTAATATTTCTTATCATTTTAATTCATACTTTAAGCTTTATAAAGTTATAATTTGTTAATATTAATATTTGCGCGTATTTCAGGTTCCTGATCATTCATTTTTTAAAGGTTTATAACTTTAAATTAAATTGTGAAGCGCTGAGTAATCATACGACGTTCAATATTCTTTCTTTCAATATGACTAAATAATCCCAATTATAGCAATCTGATACTCATGTCTCAATGTTTTTTCGCTGAATGTGATGAAAACATTTGAAAAAGGTTCGCTTATTGAAATAAATCTACACCAGTTAGTACTTCGATTTCCAGGTAAAGGGAAAAGGCTCATTATCTGCCATATTGGCAGTGAGGATGGATTTGTTGTTGACGGTCTGTGGTGCTTTGAGTCTAAGAAAACTGGAGATTACCACGAGGAAATGAATGGCGAATCGTTTGAACAGTGGTTTTCAAAAATTTTACCGAACTTAGAGGAAAACGCAGTAATTGTGTTGGATAATGCGCCTTATCATTCTCGAAGAATGGAGAAGGACCCAACAACGGCTTCAAGGAAAGTTGATGTTCAAAATTGGCTCCGCTCGAAAAATATCAACTTTGAAGAAGCAATGCTGAAAGTACAATTATTAAGAATTGTCAAGGATCACAAGGCGGAATATCAAAAATACGCCATTGACGAAATGGCAGCAAGTCAAAATAAAACTGTGCTCCGTTTACCTCCATACCATTGCGAGCTCAATCCCATTGAGCTCATATGGGCAGAGGTTAAAAATTATATAGCTAAGCACAATACAACTTTTAAATTTTGTGACCTCAAAGGACTTTTCAAAGAAGCACTAGAATTAATAACAGCGCAAAAATGGGAAAACTGTATTAAGCACGTGAAAGACAAAGTTGAAAAGAGAATGTGGGAACTGGACAATATTTTAGAGGAACAAGTCGAGCCATTCATTATTGACGTTGGTGCTTCAGGCAGTAGCGATGATGAAAGCTCATCAAGCTCATCTTTCCAATAAAAGATGTCGTTCATCAAATTCGGTAAGTTATAAGTAATTATAAAGCTACTGTATTTTTTAATTAATTATTGACATTTTTGAATCCATTTTGGCAAAACCTATTCAAGAATCTACTTTCTGACAATATTCAACCATGCACATTTTTTTACGTTTTGAACGTTTTAATTTGGTTACATATTTACCTAGAAATCAGAAAATATACTAATCAATATTCTAAAAGCAATACTGTATTTCACCAAAACATCAGGCGGCATCCGAAGCTGGAAATCGAAGCGAAAATTTTGAAACCCTTATGTATATTTACATCATTATATATTTCTTACCCCACCCCCACATGATCCTATATCCATCACCAATCGTATACACATCGAATTGTGCTAATTTACTACAAAGTTACGCAAAGCAGCATCTACTATCTAAAATATGTACTGCGTGACTCTTAATACGTCCCTGCCGAATGTTACAGCGTTCGATGATCACGTGGTCTTGTTTATGTCCGGTCTATCTCTTATCTGAATATACTGTAGACCCTCTGAGAAAAGGTCAGTCAAACTCCCCCGCTACTTAACTTATCTACAATCATAAGTTGTCTATTTTACTACTTATTTTCATTTCAACCAAATCTAAATACCTGTGCGTTACTGAAATTAGACCGTATTTTTTCCGTACCAGTCTTTATAACAATGAAAATATAGATACTTTTGTTTAATCGTACGTTTATTTGAATTCTCTAAATTAGCACCTAGCCAATAAATTTTAAACGATAATCTGAACTTTTTGTCAACTATTGATAACAGTCAACAAGACATACGTGAATAACATTTTAGCATGATAGCAAACATTGCTCAAAACTATTGATTTGAAAATGCAAATGAAATACAGAAAACAAAACTCGATTCAAAAATGTAACAAGCATGACAGGCAACCAGTATTGCACATCAGTTGGTAGGTATA